CGCCTCCCGGGTTCATGCCATTCTCCTGCCTCAGCCTCCTGAGTAGCTGGGACTACAGGCGCCCGCCACCATGCCCAGCTAATTTTTTAGTAGAGACGGGGTTTCACCTGTTAGCCAGGATGGTCTTGATCTCCTGACCTCGTGATCCGCCCGCCTCAGCCTCCCAAAGTGCTGGGATTACAGGTGTGAGCCACCGCGCCCAGCCTTAAATTTTTATTTTTGAGACAAGGTCTTACTCTATCACCCAGGCCAGAGACAGTGGCACAATCACGACTTGACCCAGCTTCAATCTCCTGGGCTCAAGTGACCCTCCCACCTCAGCCTCCCAAGTAGCTGGGACCACAGGGACACACCTGGCATGCATTTATTTATTTATGTGGAGACAGGATCTTGCTATGTTGTCCAGGCTGGTCTCGAACTCCTGGGCTCAAGCAGTCCACTGGCCTTGGCCTCCCAAAGTGCTGGGGTTACAGGCTTGAGCCACCACACCTGGCCTAGGGTCTGATTCTCTTTTTGAGAGGCTGCCTCTGGCTGGCGGGTGGAGAGGGAGCTGTGAGGGGGCAGAGAGTTGTCAGGGAACACTAGATGCCTGGGCTAGGGTGGGGAATGTAGGGTGGGCAGGAAGCGAGGGCCCGGGCCTCAGGGGAACGCACAGTGGATGGTTCACTGCCTGCTTCACCCGTTGATGTGGGACTGACCCAGAACTCCAGCTGATCTGGCCATTCAGGAAGGACTCCCAAGCCAGAAAGCTGGATCAAGCCTTTCCTGAACCCCACCCGGTGGACGCAGCTGAACCCAGCCTCCCTGAGGAGGGAGAAGGGGAAGCCAGAGAGGGCGCAGCTCATGCTCCTGGGCCCCTGGGAGGCACTGGGAAGGGTAGGTGTCACCTGCCAGGAAGGGAGGAGCCGGTGGGGTCGCCTCTGGGGCATGGGAGCCGGACAACTTCACAGGCCTCAGCAGGGCCAGGAAACCGAACCCGAGTGGGGTGGGCAGGCGGGGCGCCTCGGGCTCCAGGGAGGTCTTGACCTGGAGCAGCCTCCCGGGCCGGGGCTGGGTGGTGAGCCAGTGCACTGTGTAGTTTCATTTTCTCTGCTGAACAGGGGGAGGGGATGGCAGCACAAGGGGGACGCCATAGGAGGCCTTGGAGCTGCAGGTATCTGTGCCTCCGTGTTTGTGCGGATGGGGAAACTGAGGCCCAGAGAGGTGTGGGGACTCTTCGGAGGCAGGGCTGGCTCTGGGCCCTGACACCAGGCTGAGAGGGCTGTGGGTGGCGGCGGGCACAAAGGGCGGGCTGTAATTTCAGTCTCTGGGAAGATAAGACGGGGGACTGGGGGAACCTGTCTCCCACCCCCGCACCCCTGGTTCCCGCCAGTCCCTGCCCGTCAGCCCGGGCCTCCCACTGTGGATGCTGCCCAGAGCCCTGGCATTGTTTGGGACATGGGGCTGATTCTCCAGAAATCCCCTACTTGAGTCTGGGACACCCACCGCCAACCCCTGCCGTCCTCTCGCTGCCTCACTGCACCAGCTCTGGAAGCCTGAGGGTCGCTGGCAGTCAAGGCTGAGCTCAGCCCCAGTCTAGGGCTTCGGTGCTGCTTGGGTTTTTGTTGTCGTCGTCGTTTTGCTTTCGATGGAGTCTCGTTTTGTTGCCCTGGCTGGAGTGCAGTGGCGTGATCTCTGCTCACTGCAGCTGCCTCCTGGGTTCAATCAATTCTCCTGCCTTAGCT